AATACTGTAATTCTAATACACTTCTCACTTTCTCATCCACATATTCATTCAACACAGAAGGATACTGAGCTTGTAACCTCCACATCCTAAATGCATGCAAACTTCTCAGGTTGCCCCCCCCCCAGAGATTCACATTTTGGGATGCATGTCTTACTGGAGTATTGCATTTTTACTTTTTAAAAAGTCTATATTTACAGTATATTCTGCCCAACATGTGAAGGTCAGGGGTTAGATATGCAGGCACAACTCCATGCTCTTCCAATGGATAGACTGAATACACGAAGGACAGCACAACAAGATGCACTCCACCTGGTTAGTATGCAGCCAAATGAGATTATGTCTCCTTCCCCTTTTGACCATACATAGGAGCACCATAGAAATCAAGAGGGGAAGAGAAAAAGCACTTGAACCTTCCTGAAATGTGTTGCAAGTCTACTTCATAATATTACATGCTGATCTTTGTTCAATATATTCAATATATAAGCAGAAAGAAAAATAATTATCAAAGAAATAAAGTATTTTTCCAGGAAAGTATTTTTAGTATTTCTTCAACATTTATTTATGAAATCTTCAGATTTTCCTAGTGCAGCAGTGTAGCAAGATAATATTGTTTAGGGTTTGAATGGGACTTGGGAGATCCAGGCTGTAGCTTGCTGAGAGCCCACAAACTCATTAGGTAGTGATTCAGGCAGTCTTCCCATGTGACCTACCCCACAACGTTGCTGTGAGGATAAAGTGGGGAAGAATAAAACAACCATACAATTGGAAAGTACACTAAGGATCAACCTGTCTACCCCCTGGTGATGTAGGAAATCTACATCTAGAACATTTCTGGCAAATTATCATTAACCTTGGTATAAAAGCTTCAAGTGCAGGAAAGCACCACCCTTCAAGGCAGTTAGTTTTACTGTCAAACAGCTCTTACCATCCAAGCTAAAGAAGAGATCTTTCAGGAAAAGCAGGGAAGAAATGTACCTAAATTTAGAGAGAGAGAGAGACAGAGACAGAGACAGAGAAACAGACAGAGAGACAAACAGACAGACAGACAAGTGTGGGAAGATCTAGGGTACCACTGTTTGGACCAAATACAAAAAGCAAGTCATTTTAAATTAGTTGCTTGGCCATCTGGTAAAATGGTTCAAGATAAGCGAAAACTCTTGGTAATAGCCTATCTATTTCAAAATTGGAAACTCAAATCCATGGAGAAACATGTTGATGCAAAATCCTGAAAGACTGTAATTATATACTATGTGTTTGAATAATATTCAAAATAAATTAAGGGGAAACAATTATAAGATAACATCTGTCAAGTAGAGAATAAGAGAATATTTTACATCTGATTTATGTATCAAAGTCATGCTCCAACATTTTTTCTGTTTAAAATTATGCATCTGATTCTAACAAAGTAAAAGTTGAAAGAGCGAATGTTGCAAGTTGGCAAAAGAGGGCAGGCTATACAACTGTACTGTACTTACTTATGTAAATAGCTACAAGCTATGATACAAGAGAGACATTTCAAATAATCAAAAGACTATTTAAACTTGTTATAAAAACAAACTATTTCAGAACAAATACACTTTCTGAAACACATTAACAACATACACATTGTTTAAAGGGAACACAGACAAATGAATAATTGTCGAACACAAATTGACAATTAAAGATCTTCCAATCAGATTAAAAATTATGTAGTTCAACTTACTAACTATACAATGTACATGAACAAGGGAAAGCCACCTTGTTCATCATTTTAACGGCCAAATAAACCCAACTGCACTGATTGCTTCTTTGCAGTTGCTTTTAATATCAGGTGGAGCGCGATGTCCATCAGCACCTGCTACAATACAAGATTAACAGACCTGTTATTTTAATTATTTTCACATTTAATGTGAGACACAATTTTGGAAAATTCAATTCAGAATTTTTAAATGTTAGGTCAAGGAAAAAAAAATACTAAGAAGTCCATCTTTGGAGCTACTGTAACCAAGCTATGACAGAAATCTCCAGACATCAGTACTGCCATTTCTTAAGAGAAATGTTGTTTGTTTTGCTGTTTTACTCAGGAACTATAAGTGATGAATGATAACTATTATCAATTTACAAATAAAATCCCATATCTTTACCTTTGTTCAGTTGTCTTCTAAAATAAAAAGGACAAAATGTTTTCTCTTTTTCTACAAAGAACAAGCAATTGTATAGAAAACAAATCACGAAGAATTATGTACACGTAAAACATGAAGAATCGTGTGCACCTTATAAGAAATGGTGCTCACTTTTAAAACATATTTTCTCCAACATTTACTAATGCAATGTAAATTAACAAAAAGTACAACACATCAAATGAATGCAAAAGCAACTGTAAAAATGCACGTCTATCTCCACTACACAGTAGCAAAGATACTAATTTTCTTTACACTCAGAAACATTTCACTTCCTTCAGCATGGAAACTAGACAAAGTGAACTTCAAAATCAAGGCACTGGCTCCCAAAATCATAACAAGAAGAAAACTATATAAAAAGAAAAAAAAAGAAATATGCTAACGGTTACATAAATAGTGGAATTAAAAAAATAATAATCCTGTCATAATGAGGACATTTTTTTCAAAATAAAGCAGTCACACTGCTACAAGAATTGCAGATTTCAGTAAAAAGTCAAGCTTAACTTTGTTTTATATGTCAAAGTGAGAGATCTTGAAAAAAACTAAAAATACCAACATCTTACTACAAATTTCAAAGTACTTTCTGAACATATAGATTTGCTTATTGAAGTTTTCAGTTGAAGAAAATGTGACAGATAATCACAGAGATAATCACAGACAGAATCCACTTATCAAGCCTACAATCCTATATACACTTACCTAGACGTATATGCTACCGAACACAGTAAGGTTTATTTCAGAGTAGGCACTGACAGGATTGAACTGCAAGGCTGAAAATCCTATACATTGTTAATAGGGCTTTTTCAAAAGCATCATGCCTAAGTATAAACTGTCAGCACCTAAAAATCTAAACTGCTGTTCTATTAATATTGAACAACATCGAATGGAAGTACCATGTGTGTGTAACAGGCTTAACTGGGGTATTTTTCAATTTAGGATTTCTTTTTTTAATCTCTTTATCATTCCAAGTAGTTGATTTTACGTGGAATTCTAACTGATGCTGCTCTTAAGTGGGTTGGGGTAGCAGGTAACTGTGAATATCTTAAAAATATATTGCCTATTACATACAGTATTGGGGGAGGGGGAATCTTTATACATAGACGTAAAGATCAGGATCAAAATCATTTGGGGAGAAATCCTTAACCATATTTTTCCCAGTAGGTTTGCATCTTAGTTATTATACTGTATCTTCATCCCCATGTGCTTTACAAGTCCACACAGAAACAACATTTCTAGTCATTATCTTATTTGCCATTTGTAGGCACTGTTTTCCTTGAGTTCATGTAAAAATTCAACATCCAAATAGAACTTAGAAATGAGATGTGCAAAAGGCAGGAAAATACCTTACAACATCATTTTTTCAGGTATTTTGCTACACTCTTTGCCCAAAGACCATCAAAACAATGAATATCTAATATCTTGTAGGATGAGGTCAACTAGACAATACATTTTAAACATGGTGACACATATTGAAGGAAGACAGCAATCAGACAGTTGTTTCCATTTTTATCCCAAGTCCAAATGAACAAATAAAAATATTAACATGCAATGGGAGTGCATGTTATTTGTCAGTCAGCTCAGAACACTATATGACCAATTATTTTGAGGCATAAACTGTAGGCAGAACACCAACCTCATTTTATGTATGCTAATGCAGCTAAAACCTTCAGCAGATAATCATATTTTGGCACCACAGAAATGCAGCTATGTATGTGTGAATCTGCTCAGGCAGAGCATCTGAATCAGATTTGCACTCACTTTCAACACAAGCATACTCCTCCTGCATGCTGAAATCTGGTTACAATATTGGGTTTCTTTTTTGTTTCATTTTTAATTCTATAATACATTACGTATTTTACCATTAACCATTCAACTTCACTATCACAAATAATATAAAATTTCCTGTACAGTATTCTGCATCCTCCCAGTCTCTGAAAAATCTGCAAGTCACAATATGCAGATGACAGGTTCTCTATGAAACAGAAAAAGCTGGCACATAATTGCACTTAATGTTCATTACATAAAGCTGCCAACTAGCTTGGGGAGCACGTAAACTAGACAGACATGATTTAAAGTTTGCAAAGGAATCCCCAGACTAACACTTCGGTGACAGCCAATTACAGCCCCAAAAACACAGCCTCAGTAAGCAGTCTGCTAGCAGAACTTAAAGAAAGGTAAAGTTTCTTACAATGAGTTACAGATTCACAAGCAGAGGAAGACAAGAAGAAAAAGGAAAACAGAAGGAATCCAGCTACCCAGCAAATCTGAAGCAGACCCAAAGATCGTGATACAATCCAAAGATGTAAATTATTGTAAATCATCACTGTTGTTCAGAATTTCACACAGACATTTGTGCCAATTTTGGTATTCTCCTTCACAGACACAATAAGAAAGTAGAAAAGTTGGGTGGAGGGAGAGGAAAGAAAAAGGCAGAGAAACTGGGAGAGCATAAATGAAATTCTGCTGTCCATATGCTTTCAAGGCACAGGAGTTTAGACTCTTTTAGCATTTGTATGCTCTTCAAATCCTCATGAGTCAGAAAAATTAAAAAGCTAAAGCCTTCTGGATACCAGGAAGGACCTTACCACGGGCCTTTTGTCAAACTTTTAAGAGGGGGAGGAAAGGAAAAGCCACAGTGTTGGGCAGTCCCCCTTTACTTGACTACTATGATGTCAGAAACCACATGATTCTGTCTCTCCAGTAACAGTGCAAGCAAAAAAAAGGAGTTTTAAAAGCTTTTGCTTTTTTGGATTGTGTGAATGCTTCATTCGCCTCACAAACAACCACAGAACCACAAGTGCGGTGCAAACTTTCTCCAAAAGGACAGAGCAAGAAGACTTTGGTTTTTAAATGGTTAATCTCAACAGGTCACCAGGAGCCACCGAGACCAACACAGTCAGTAAGTGTTCTCAAACCACAGTCTATTCAGTAATAATAGATCTATATCCTATCTAATATTTGCTTGTTTTATGTCTCCCCCCCCCCTTTTGAGGGGGGAGAGTTGGTTTTGTTTTCTTGCTTTTCCCATGTTCTTGGGCTTCAGAACTTTTTGGCAGAGAGGAAGAACATATAGATTTTGTTGCACACCAACCATGCTGTAAAACTAAAATAAAGCTTGGCTATGGTTTGTGATTTCAGTTTAAGGCTTCAAGCAGTCTTTGCACCAGAAGACACACACGCGCTGTGTGATAGGCAGGGAAAGCTATGGCATCAAACAGTCTCTTCAGCTCAGTGACACCTTGTCAACAAAACTTCTTCTGGGGTAAGTTTGCATTTTCAAATACTATGAAATACTGCTCATTGTCAAAACTGTTTGCTATTTATATAATTAACTTTTTTAAAAAACTTAAAACTTGATCACAGCAAAAGCAGTACTGAGCATAACAGTGACAATTTTTTAGAAATTAGAAACCGAATCAAAGGCTACTAACTCCACAACTACCTAAGCAGCAGGTGTGCTGTGTTTTTTTGTGTTGTTTTGTTTTTTACAATTCTCTATATAATGATACATCTATATGGAAAAAGCATAGGACTTGAGATGAGCATTCAAAATGTAGACTTGCTGTGTTAGCCATCACTTTCATGTATACCACACAAAGGACTTGCAAGTAAGATGCATCTATTTCCAATTTTGATTGTCACAAAATAGCCAAATTAGTGTAGAAGACCAATGGAACTGATTTACATAGATCTAAAAACTGAAATAATTAAGAAATGAACATCTAGCCATACTCTCTTATGCGGGTTCCCTTAATGCTGTGAAACTGGTCTCCTGCTTTCCACACAAACAGGTATTACTAATTTCATTTGAAGCTTACCTACAAGCAAGTACAGTTAGTATCACTGTATTTGCTAAATATATGTTTAGAGATCTTAAATTCTTATTTTGTTTTTGTTCTCGACATAATTACTATATTCTTTAACAAATGCACCAAGACTTAAAAGGACTAAGTCATGCTGTTCCGAACAAGTATACCTACAAACTGAGAAACTCTTGGGCATCAAAATTAGGAAGCGGCAAAACAGAATAAAGGCATAGATCAATGTAATTCTTCACGTGCAGTAGTGTGTATAAAGAAACTCTTTAAAACAGATATCTTAAAATACTATCATGGGATAATAGGTAAACTCATCAGATATTTTCCACCTTTTCAATGTCTTTGCATAAGGAAAACTCCCAAGCTATAAAACTGCACATCTAACAGCCCTTTGATCTTTCCCATCTATGATCTGTTTTTGAAATTATGTCAGTACATATATTAGTACCACATTAAATAAAGGATTGCCAGGTTTTGTTTAAGAATATACAATATTACTAAATAACTCCACTGACCCCTGTAGAGCTTACAATGTTTTTGAGATATAGTTTCTAAAGATGTAGTTAAAAAAACAAAAACCAGCTTAAAATTCAAAAGCTATGCATATCTACTTTAAATCCATGGCAAGGGATTTTCCTCCCACAGAAACACTACAAAAATATATGTTTTAAAATATCTCAACAACATTATCAACATACCGTACATAGAAAGAAACAAAATTCAGAACACTTACAATATTTTCTTAATGTTGTCCATCTGGTCAAAATTATATTGGGCCTGCAAAACAATGAATTTTCTTTTTCCTTCTAATGGGGAAAATACCCTGATCCATGCTTGAAATGCTTTTAGAGTATGCACCTACATTGAGCTTGTATTCCATCTAGCTGATGGTCGGAGTTCCTTTTACCCCTCCTACTTCACACGTTTCAACTGGCTCTTGTTGAAGCATATGAATCCACTGCAATCTGTGAGCACAATTAGATATGAAGCAAGATTTGTATTCATGGAACAGAGAGACCTATTTAATTTCTGATATACAAAGACATCAGATGCATTACATAGGCCTATGTCTCAAAACCTACTCTCTGCAAGTTCGTCACACTGAGTTACACTGTAATTAGGCAGCTAGCGTGCTAAAATATGGCACAGAAAAACAAGGATTTTTAAAGTGGCAGGTAATTTTTTTTCCTATCCAAACTTGTGCTTTAATGAAGCACAGCATAAATGTAGCCAGACCACATTATCCCAGTGTTTACAATGGGAAATACAGTTTACATATATATGAGTTTCTTTTGCTTTTAACATTCAGAAAGAGATCACAAGAAATATACCTGGCTAAAATTGAAAAGCATGCAGTGGTGACTGCCTAATTTATTTTGAGACACAGTTTGAAACTACCTGAAAGGTCCTGGACATGGGCAAAACATCCTTCAAAATCTGTAACACTTAAAATAAGACTGGCTAAGCAAATATGTCCTTACAAACACAAAAGTAACAACATTTTAAGAGAAAGGATATTATAAGCTCCTGACAATTTAATGATGGCAATGTTTCGTTAGACTTAAGCTATTTGTTCCTGTTTATTGCTGTTTTGTAGCAGAAGAGTAGCTGGCTGGACAGCTCAGCGGTTCAGGTATCTTGCTGCAGAGCCAGAGGCTGGGAATTCAATTCCCCCCACTGTGCCTCCCTAACAGAAGAGCCAGTCTATGTAGCCATGGGAAAGCTACGCGGAAGAAGGAAATGGTAAACCATTTCTGAGTATTATCTACCTAGAAAACCCTGGAAAAGGTCACCATAAGTTGGAACTGACTTGACGGCACACAATTATTATTAACAGTAAAGTATTAGCCAGTTCAATCATCCAGACATACGACATTTACAGCTGACATGTTAAAGAAGTGCTCCAATTCATGTAGCTGGAAATGTTTTATTCACATTATCATGTGGTCCAGCATTAGACTATATGCATTTAATTTGGTAACCTGTCCAGCTGCACCTCATATAATTAGACTTTATCAGCCAAATTTATCAGCACTCAGTTATGAAATAACAAAGACTAATATTGAGGATGGAAAGGAAATATCAAATTTCCTCCACTTGAAACTAGTATCAGTTTATATAACCTTAAAAAAATCCTCATGACAGGAGAAGATATAAATATATCAGTAGTTGCAATTTGTATATTAAATACTCCGTGTAATAATCAACTGTAAAGTTAACACTTATATCTTGACCTACTTATAATTAAACTTGTTAATTTACTGCACATACAGTAGCAGCAACAGTAATTATATAATGAAATATCAAATTCATGATCATGATCCACTGCATTCACTCAAATGAATAGAAGCCTTACACAGCCCTATTCCTTTCACTGGGTCTTGTGAAGAAAAAGATTACGCCCAACATTTACACCTGATCTTACAGAATGTGTGCAGACAAAAATGTGTAAAAGAACTAAAAACTTTCCTCCAATATTTATCTTGTTCATTCCCATACTGCTGTTAGCAGACACTGCCCAAGGTACAAACTGAAAGGGGAGGTCGACTTTTCAGAAATTCTCTCTCTCTGTCTCTCTCTGTGTGTGTGTGTGTGTGTGTGTGTGTGTGTGTGTGTGTGTGTGTGTGTGTGTGTGTGAGTGAGTGAGTGTGTGTGTGTGTATCATGCTGATCAGACAAATCAAAGTTCATCATCAACTAATAAAAATTCATATTCTTAACAATATTCTTAATATGATTTCCCAATCTGCTTCATTTACTCCAAAGTATTCCTATCACATGAATAAATACACTGCTACCCTGTTACCCTGTTTCCCTAAAATAAGACCTAACCTGAAAATAAGCCCTAGTATGATTTTTCAGGATGCTTGTAATATAAGTCCTACTCCAAAAATAAGCCCTAGTTAAGTGAACTGCACCATTGTGCAGCAACCAGGAGATGACATGACAGTTTTTTAATAAATGTAGATGGTTGTACATGACAAAAATAAAACATCCCCTGAAAATAAGCTCTAATGCATTTTTGGAGCAAAAATTAATATAAGACTCTGTCTTATTTTCAGGGAAACAGGGTACTACCTTCACAATAAACCAGTCCTTTCCGAAACAAAAACGAAGTAACACAGTTAAATATTTCCATTCAAAAATGCTGAAGTCCTTTGAAATGCTTCTAAGTGGGACTGTGATTTCTAGTCACACTAAAGGCTTATCTTTTTCTAGCACAATACTGTTATTTCATGTCATTCATATTTAGAAACATCTGAAATGCTACATAGAGAACAAAATAAAATGGTCTGTTTATTGATCCTATAAGTATTGAAATTTCGCTTATTATTCAAATCCCACAATCTGAGGTAAAATTCTCAAAAAAGGGAAATGTTTTATTTAGTTAAAAGAACATCAAAATATTTGATAATTAAACAAATAAGTAAGTGAAAAAAGCTAATTCGTAGGAAAGGCTAAGATTTTATCAGGCATACAGGATTAATCTTTATTGAATAGAACCATTCACAAATCAAAACTTACTCTACTTCAATACTTTCATACAGCACTAATCAATTAAAAACCTTTTCTAGTGATTCAAAATCCATGTGCTTTTAATTTTATACACTGGTGGTCTAAAATATAGAAATGAGGCTCAGCAAAGTCGGTCTGTATAGAAACTTTTGCTTTTTTCCCAATAAATATTCATCTAGAAGTTTTCTTAGAGAGAGCTGCTCATATGAAGTTTGTGGTAATATTTTTATACTGTACCTCCTTGTTGAAGTAAAGGTTAAGGGTTATCAAAATACCTCAACTGTATATACAAAAAAGAGAGGAAAAGTTAAGTATTCACATGAAAAATCCAAGGGAACTATATTATTTATTTTTGCATTTCCTATGATTAATGATGCACCAGTGTATACTTGAAAACTGAAGTCAAAATCAGGATAACACCTCAAATTCCTTTATAAACTGAACAAATGTCAAATATGGTAGGCTGCATTAACCAGTCTACCAGAAACCCTAAAATATCTTGCCACCCCAATTTAATATGCTAAAGCACTGCTGAAAATCCTCCCATGTACTGTGATTTCTTTATAGGTGGTCTAATAATGGCCTTTGAATGAATTTAATCGGAACACTTTAAATTTGTTTTTGAACTCCAGCCTAAAAAAAGGCCCATTCCGCTTAAAATTATCCTGCCTTCAAGCGAATAATAGAAAAGACGTGTAGACAGTAAATAATGTTGCTTTAAAGCTCTGAGTGGAGATGGGGACTTCCAGAGGCCCCAAAGGTAGGAAAGGCCAAACTGGCAGGTTGAATTTGGCCCAGAGGTCAGAGGTTCCCCATCCCTACTTTTAAGTCTCTACATGGACATTTTCCCCATCAAGCTAAACACTATCTGTTCAGGTCCAGCTTTTACAGGCACTGAGCATGTCACAGGTTCTACACTTCCACGTTCC